TCACAGGTCGGGGGTGAGGGCACAGCTTCTGCAGCCAGGCTGCCCGCTTCACTGCCCACTGACTGCCCACTTCACCACCCACTGGCTGGGTGAGCCTGAGCAAGTGACCTAAGCTCTCTGCAGCTCAGTTTCCTCTTTGACAAGATGGAGTTCCTGACAAAGCTGCCTCCTTGAGTGGTCGTGAGGGTTCAATAACCCAGAGGAGCACCCCAGCCTCTGGCCTACAGTGAGCAGCAGATAAATGAAACTTCCCACTAACATGATAGTTTGCCATAGTTTCTGTTGAAAGAGGATCAGAGCTCACCTGGCAGGATCCTCCTCCCCTATTTTGGGTCTCCCCCCCAACAGAGGTCCTCCAGTCATTCATTCCTGCAAATATCTCATTCTTCACTCATGCAAAGATTATTAAACCTCTGCTCAGTTTTAGGCATGGGCCCAGGTCCTAGGCGTACAGGGTGAATTTGGAGGTTATGTTCTAGTGCAGTGGTTCTCAACCTGTGGGTCGCGACCCCTTTGTAATGAAAATACATCACGGTGTTAGGAAGGTTGAGAACCACTGTAGTCTAGAGGGAGAGATAGACAGTAAACAAATAGGCAAAAAAAATGGAGATGAGAAATAATTCATGGTAAGGGAGTAGGAAGCAGTGGAGAGGGTCAGGGAGGGCTCCTCCGAGGAGGTGCCATGTGAGGAAGGGACCTAGTGATGGACAGATCAGGAAGAGAATGTTCCAGGGATGGTCTAGACTCTTAGATTTGAGGATAATTCCCCTCAAGACCCCTTAGCCCGTTAATCCACTCTCACCCCCGTCCCCTCAGGGAACAGGAGTTGGAGGGTCCTTGAAAGGGACAGTAAGTCTCAGGTAGAGGTGGGAAGCAGGAAGAGGCCTTTCGTGCTGCCCAGGGCAGGTGGACACAGCAGAGAACCCTGACAAGTAAGGAAGAAGTTTGGTCAGTTAATAAGTCAACGCATCTTAACTGAGCACCTACCAACAGCCAGGCATTGTCCTGGGCTCTAGGAGAACAACAAAGGATGAGGACAAGGCCCTTTGTGGGCCTGTCATTCCAATGGGGAGAGCCAGACAATAAACCTATGCTTAGATACAACAATGGTAGGAAAACAGTACAGTAGGGATCTAATTCTGGAGCCACTGGCTTCTCTAAGGAAGCGATATAGAAGCTGAGACCTGACTGATGAGCAGAGTTCTAAAGGAAGAGCTTCCCAGATTCCAAGAACAGCAAGTGCAAAGGCCCTGAGGCAGCCACCGGCTTGGCTTCTTGGCAGGACAGATGCTGGTGCATGAAGCAGGGAGGTAGAAGGTGAGGTGGGAGAGGGTGGCAGGAAGGGTCCAGACAATGTGCAGTCTTGCAGACCATGGGAAGATATGTAGATTTTATTGTGAGTGCACTGGGGAGCCACTGGAGACTTCTAAGCCAGGGACAAAACACGGTCAGATTGATGACTTTAAAGAATCTTCAAAGAAAAGCATCTTGAACTGCTGTGTGGCAAATGAAGTTCAGAGGCCAGAGCAGAAGATGAGAGACCAGTGGTGTGACTAGTGGCTGGAGAGCAATGGCTGGCAAGTTGCAGTGGAGACGGAGTGAAGTGGTCAGAGCCAGGATATATTTCGGAGATGCAGCTATCAGCACTGGCTGGTGGAATGGATGTCAAGACAGGGGAAAGAGGAAAATCAAGAACGATGCCCAGGCTTTTGGTGTGAGCCCTAAGGTGGATGGGGTACCTTTCATTGAGACAGCATAAACAGGCCCTCAAGAATGAGGTGACCATCCAGGCAGGAGAGCCCAGGCCAGAGAGCACCAGTGTCCTGGGTAGACTGGGACTTACGCCCCTACCCTGCCACCCTCTAGGAGAGAAGACTTTTCTCCTGGAGCTCCCAGAAAGAGCACACCTTAAATAGAAGGAACACACCATAAGCCACCTGTGTTAAATAGAACATCAGATCCAAACTCAGCAGGCTGGCCACCCAAGTCCTTGACATGACCCTTATATGAGGCTGAGGCACAGAGCCCCAGGCCTGAGATTACCACCGGAATATCAATCACCTTGCACCTGGCAGCCTGCATTCTCGAAGCTGAATCACAACAGCCTTGACCAGTGGAATATGTATTAGCAACTAATTATAATTGCCACCAATTAATCATCATGCCAAGCCTTGGTTTCCACAACCCCGATTATCACTGGGGCAAAATAGTCTTTGCTCTTACAAAGGAACTTTAATTGACCCAATAACCCCGAGACACAACATGTGGTGTCTGTTCCCCAGCACGTAGACAGTTCCTCAGCCTGGCATCAAGGCAGCTGAGCTGATGCTGGCAGTTCCAGGAGACCATGGCTCACTCCCAGGACCTGGGCCCAGGAAGGAACTGATTTCTTTTATAGAAGCTGAAACTCCAAACATCAAGACTTCAGGAGCTACATGGTGTTACACAGTCTATTACATGGAAAGCTGGGGCCAGGGAAAGGAGGGTCCCACCTGCCAGCACGCAGGAAACCTTACTGTTGGCAGGTTTCTTGAGATAATGCTGATGAGCAGCTGGATTTGAGAATTAGCATTTTAAACAACTCATATCTTCACAGGGCCTGTACACACAAGGAAGGTGGGTGCAGAGTAGCCCCATGCCACATCCTAAAAGATCCTATTTAGAAGCATGAACTTGAATCATGAAGACTAAAACTCAGAAGAGTTTATTCATGTGTCCATTCATTAAATCAACCTTTTTTTTGAATTCTTACTATGTACCACACCCCGGGGGGGGGGGTGCTGGGTTGGATAAACAGATGTGTAAGAAGCTTGCAGTGGAGTAAGATACAGACAATAGGGCCACGTGGGGCAGATGCGGAGAGAGCAGCCACAGACCTCCAAAGGGAGGGGTGATCCAGCCAGGGTTCAAAGAGGAGGTGATGTTTGAGCCACATCTTCGGGAAAATAAAAGTGCAAGACTTAATGAGGCTGGACATTTAACTTCGTAAACTCATCCTGGAAAAAGTGCTCCATACCTCATTGCTAAATATCACTATGATCACCTTCAAAGTCCTCCCCTTGGCCATCAGGTGACCATAGTAATATTCAGCAGTGACATTTGTAGCTTTTTTTTTTCTAGGATGAGTTTGCAAACTTAATTGTCTGCTCTTGTAGTGATAGAATAGTGGCTCCCCAAAAATGTCCATGCCCTAATCCCTAGAACCTGTGAATTCATTACCCAATATGACAAAAGGGTCTCTGCAGGTGTGATTAACTTAAGCGTCTTGATGGGGGGGGAGGGGGCAGGGAGGATAATCCTGGATTATCCAGAGAGGCCCAGAGTATTCATAGGCCTTTATAAGAAGGAGACAAAAGGACCTATAAGTAGGAGATGTGACCACGGGGGCAGAGGGTGGAGTGATTGGAGGGAGGGGCCACAAGCCAAGGAACACAGGCATCCTCTGGAAGCTGGAAAAGGCAAGAAAACAGAGTCTCTCCTACAGCCTCCAGAAGGAACAAAGCCTTTCCAACACCTTGATTTTAGGATCTCTGGCCTTCAGAGCTGCAAGAGAGTAAGTTTCTTTTGTCTTAAGCCGCTAAGTCTGGTAACTTGGGGCAGCAACCAGCCTCATACAAAGCACCATCTGATCTGCACTTACTAGCTCAAGAAACATTGGATCAGGAGAGCAAAGCAATCCAGGCCTTGGATAGGCCCCTTAGGTAGAAAACAGCAGAGAGAGGATGGAAACCAAGACTGTCCAATTCAAGACCCCCCTGCCCTTAGCCCCGGGAAGACACAGACCTCCCTAGGTAGATGGGGAGGGCATCCCTGTGGGCCCTGCCAACTTAGAGCCACACGGGTGAGAAGTGAGGAAGGGTGTTGAACAAGGGGGAGCTGATCCCCACATGCCAGGAGGGGAAGGATTGTGGGGACTCCCTGTCCTGGCTTCAGTGGCTGGGTGGTGTCATGTTCTGAGGTCACCCAAGAGGAGACACCACAAGTGTCCTTTATGCCACACAGGGATGCATTGTCTGGCAGATGGGATGGGGGTTGACAGCGAAGGCTGGTGGTAGAGTTAGAGTCTTAGTGGAGGAGGAAGCCCTTGAGGAGGGTCCCGTCCACTGCTGTGCTGCCCGAGGAAAGAAATCCCTCCAACTGGGGTTGGTTCCTTTTACCCTTTCAGATCTCCCATTTCTTACCAGCCAGATACAAACATATCCTTATAAACTACTAGACGATATAATTAAGGTTTGGACAGATACTTTGGGTTACATTTTGGTAGACTGAATTTTTTCTAATCATAAAGTTGACTCAAGTACATTATGGATAATTACAAAAAAGGAAAAACAATCATATGTGGCATATTTCCTTCCCTTCCCTCCCCCCATGCAGTGTTTTGTTTCTTAGTGGCAGATTATCAAGTCAGTCTTCTGTTTTTAGAATTTGTCTCATTGCATAGCCTTTATTTTCAAAAGTCATTATAGACTTTTCTTGGGATTCAACTTTTATGGCCCCCTAGTTTTCCACTGGGTGGAGGCGTATATAGTTTATGCGACCAACTGCCTGATGTTGTAAATCTCCAGATTGTCTCCAATTTCTTGTTATAAAGGCAGCAGCCGTGCCTCAATGTACTAAACGTTGTCCTCACTCAGGGGTGTTTTTTAAAAGTTTTTGTTACATGTTATTTTATCAACTTGCCCCCCAAAAGGTCCATATCATACTCCCACCAGTGATGTCTTTACGGGCCCGTTCGTATCATCTCCTTCCCAGCTTTGGGATTTGAAAAGCTGATCTTTGCACATTTGGTGAGAAATCCCGTCTTGCTTTTGAGGAACATTTTTAATAGTTATGTAGAATTCTGCCCAGCAAGCTGCACCATTGTTTCATTGACTGGCTGTCACAGGTGAGAGCACACAGGATGTTGCCAGGGCTGGGATTTTATCAGTTACACTGCTGTTACCATCTCTGTGTTTAAAACCTAAACCGAGTCTTTGCCTGTGTTGTTTCTCTCATTTGAGGGCGCTATGATGCCCGGGCCAGAGTCCTCATATGCCACATGACCTCCCTGCTCCAAGTGCCTTTGGAAGAGCTGGATTTCCTTGAAGAGACATTCGTTGAGAGCCTGAAGGAAACCAAAGAGGAGGAATCTGAGTAAGAGAGCCCTGCAGTCCCATCAGGAAGGAGGGATTTCCACTTACGGGCACTTTGCAAATGACAGAGTCCCCTTCTCCCCTTATTAAGAGATGGGGTGTGGGAGGCCGAGGTGGGAGGATTGCTTGAGCTCGAGGAGTTCGAGACCAGCCTGAGCAATAGTGAGACCTCTTTTCTACTAAAAATAGAAAAATTAGCTGGGAATGGGGGCAGGTACCAGCCTGCTACCTCCCAGCTACTTGGGAGACTGAGGCAGGAGGATGGCTTGAACCCAGGAGTTCAAGGTTGCTATGAGCTAAGTTGATGCTACTGCACTCTACTCAGGGCAACAGAGCAAGATTCTGCCTCAAAAAAAAAAAAATCCCACTACTAGGTATCTACCCGGAAAAAAACATTTTATCATAAGGACATTTGCACTAGATTGTTTATCACAGCTCGATTTACCATTCAGCCATAAAAAAGATGGAGATGTTACACCTTTTGTACTAACGTGGATAGGGTTGGAGAACATTCTCCTTAGAAAAATAGCACAAGGGGCTCAGCGCCTGTGGCTCAAGTGGCTAAGGCGCCAGCCACATACACCTAAAGTG